CCTCTGAATAGCAGAGGAGCATTGTCTGAAAACCCTCTGAATAGCAGAGGAGCATTGTCTGAAAACCCTCTGAATAGCAGAGGAGCATTGTCTGACAGAGTGCTGGAAGGTGAGAAGATGGCACTAAAGACCTTGTAGGGTTCTGCTCTGCTAGACACAAGATCACTAGGAGTCAGAATCGCCTTGATAGCACTAACAACAAAAGAGAAGCAGAACTGAGGTTTCCATGAGGAAGAAGAAATTTTGTCTTGGAAGTGTAACATCTGATCCTGCCTGAGAGTTTCCAGGCTGCCCTATGGAGTTTGGTCTTGTCCGTCCAGCCCTGGGGGGCATAAGCCAATTCTTTGCAAAAAATTAATACATCCATAAATACACACACACACATACATACATATGTGTTTGTGTACATATGCACGTATATGTGTGTATATATCCTCCTGGCTCGGTGTCCCTGGAGGACGCCTGACTGATATCAGGGTCTCACTCTGGTGTCCGGTTTCCCTGACTGAAGCCCCATCTATACTCCGCTCAACTAAACTGAAATCATCTCAGTGGTCTCCTGGGAAATAGAGTGTTGTGGTGACAACTTTTTCCAGGAAGAGGGGAAGCTCTATATATGCAGAACCAGAGGAGAGATTTTACTTTGCCAATAAATTATTTACTCACGTGCTCTTGAGTATCTGTGTCTTTAAAAAGTGGACACCAAGAAAAATAACTCTTATTCATTCAATCTTTCATTTATTCCACAAACTTTTGAACCCCCAGCACAAGCAGGCCCTTGCTGGGCTGTGTCCGAGGACCCAGAGATGACATTATGACCTGTCCCTGCCCGGCAGAAGTCATAGTCCAGTGTCGGGGGAGGAGGGCACTACAGCAGTGTGTGGGTTATCTACTGCCACATAACGAATCACCCCATAGCTTAGCGGCTGAGAACAACCAGCGCGTGTTACCTCTCCATTTCCAGTGGTCGGGAATCGGGGGGTCCCAGCCTGTGGCTCTGGGTCCCTCCCAAGGCTGCAGTCAAGGGGCTGCTGGGGCTGCAGTCACCTCAAGGAGGAAGATATGCTTCCAAACTCACGCGCAGGCAGTGGGCAGGATCAGGCGCTGGCTGGGGAGGGAGGCATCAGGCCTGGCCTTGTGGCCTCTCCATGGGACAGCTCACAACATGACAGCTGGCCTCCACAGAGCAAGCGAGGGAGGGAGAGAGGACCGGCGAGACAGAAGCCAGTGTTTTTGTCACTTAATCCCAGAAGCAGCATCCCAGCCCTTTTGCCATATTTTATTGTTAGAAGTAGTCATGGGTCCTGGTTTTAGAACAAATTAGGATTCCTGTCCTTTGACCTGTGCCCTCAGATGTCCCCAAGGATCTCTCTGGTGGGCCTCAGAGAGGTCATCATGGTCTCTTGGGAGGGCGCCTGGCATGTCCTCAGGGCCCCACCCTTCACTCCACGGTGTCCCTGCATTACTGAACTACCCACTCTCAATCTGCACGTCAGCTTCGGCAGCCTGGGCTATGAGCACCCACCCCTGTTGCTCTGAAGCTAAGAAAACTGGAAATGTAGCTTCGTCATTCCACCTCCTCCTCCATAGGCTAATACGCATTCTTCCCTTCTGATGGAAGTCATGATAACAACCGCCTATGATCTTCTCAAATTATTGCCTTGCTTTGTCACTCCTGGTCATCATGATGTCTCTTTCACCTGGCAAGGGACCTGTTATTCCTACGTGCCCCAGAAATGTTTGTCCAGTGCACCACCGAGCACATGAATGAATGCATGGACAACATCAGATCATGGGGCTCACCTCTGTGGACTCAGAAATCCCCAGAAGCAGGTGAGGGCTACTCTCCAGAGAAGATTCTGAGCTGCAAAGCTGGAAGAAACCTTCCAATTCTGCTTCTATGGATTTCATCTCTTCCCTGTAACACTGTTGTCAGATGGCCAGTGGTCTCCCGGGAACCCCCCTAACTAACTCTTTTTTTAAAAAATAATTTTATTTATTTTTTTCCCCCCAAAGCCCCAGTAGATAGTTGTATGTCATAGCTGCACATCCCTCTAGTTGCTGTATGTGGGACGCGGCCTCAGCATGGCTGGAGAAGCGGTGCGTCAGTGTGCGCCCAGGATCCGAACCCCGGCCACCAGCAGCAGAGCGCGCACACCCAACTGCTAAGCCACGGGGCCGGCCCCCTCTAACTAACTCTTGCGTCCTCCTCAACTCCATCCCTAACACCAGTCCTGACTCTCTCTGAGGTTAACAAGACTGTGTTGAGGACATATCTTTTTATTTCTTGATTAAATATTACTAAAGCCATACAGGCTTATTGTAAAAATTCAAATAATATAGAATAGAGAAGGAAAATTTCTTCATCTTCTGGAAACCTCAGTCTTTGCTCTTAAGGCCCTCAATGGATTGAATGAGGCCCACCCACATTATGGAGGGTTCTCTGCTTTACTCAAGGGCAACTTATTTCAATGTTAACATGTCTACAAAATATCTTTCCAGCAACATCTAGACTGGTGTTTGACCAAACAACTGGACACCGTCGCTTAGCCACGGTGGCACGTAAAATTAGCCATCACACCAGAGATGCTAATATCCAAAAGAAAGCATTAGGCAATGGAAGCTAATGGTTTATCATCCACAAAAACCATATTATGATCAAGTTGGGTTTATGACAGGGAATGCCAGAATGGCCCCATGTCAGAAAATCTGTCAAGATAATTCCGTACATTAGTAGAGTCAAGGAGAAAAATCATGTTGTTATTTCAATTGATGCAGAAAAACACACTCAGGGACAGATTCCTGTGTATGTGGGGCTGGTATACACCGTGGAGGGGGCGTCCCCATCTAGACGGGGACACTGGCTTCTTGTAAGGGACGAGAGATGTCAGAGGTGACTTGGAATGGATTAAAGACCCAAATGTGATAGGCAAAACTATGAAGGAAATAGAAGGGAAAGTATGTTAAATCTTTTTCTTTTCAGATAAGCACTTTTTAGTCCACATCTCAAAAATACAACCCCTAAGGCAAAATGCTCATGAATTTGATTCTATGTGAGTTCAGAATTTCTGTCCAATGAAAGACCCCATGGAGAAAGCCAACAGACGTGACTGAGTATGAGGGATCTCTACTGTCCAAGGATTGCCATGGAGGATAGTGGTTCCCAAAGTGTGCTCTGGGGAACCCTGGGGGTTCTCAAGACTCTTTCCAGTGGTTGTGACATCAAAACAATTTCCTAATAATACTAAGATGTTACTTGTCATTTCTACTCTCCTTCTACGTAACAGACTGAATGAAAAGGCAGATATCAGAATCAAGCTATCATCTATGAAGCCAGACATTTTGCAAAAATGTGAGCAATAGCACTCCTCTCTCACAGGTTTTTTTTTTTTCCTCAGAAGATATAGTTTAGTTTTCATGCAATTATATTATCTATTTTAATATGTAATGGATTTATCATTGTTATATTTAGGAGAATTAATAAACACATTTCTCAGTTTAATTTTTATTATGGTTAATATAAGATGAATAAATATATAAATAAAATATTTCTATCAATATATAAATACAACATAAATATAATGCATATAAACAAAAGCTCTTTTTTGTCCTCAATAATTTTTAAGAGTATAAGGGAGTCCTGAATACATGTGTGGTCAAATCTCCTTTTCCTTTCTCTCATAAAGACACCAGTCATTGGGTTCAGTCCCACCCTAAATCTGGAATGATTTCATCTTGGGATCCTTAACTAATTATACCTTCAAACACCTTATATCCAAACAAGATCAACTTCGGAGGTTCCAGGTGGATGTGAATGTTGGGGGAACACTACTCAACCCTCTCTACCCCAAGGTTAAGGACATTCTAACCATGACTGCTGCCCTCATTCTTTCCAATTCCCTGGGGCTGCTCGGTTTGTGCAAAACTCGGTGTCAAATGAGGAGGACTTTGAGCTTCTGGGTTCCACTGGAATGACACACTGGGTTTGTTGTTTTAGTGTGTAGCTAAATATATCAGTCTTCCATTCAGTATAAAGGGCTGCTGGTGTGAGCCTACCTCAGCCAGACTCCCAAGACATCCAGGTGCTGCACCATCCCTGCTTCCAGCTCCATGGCCAGAGTCCTGCTCCTCCTTGGTATGGTGGTCCAAGCTCCAATCTCCCCTGTCGCAGGCCCAGCCCCTACCCCCAGCCTAAACCCATCTCTACCTCAACCTCATCTCCAACTCCAATCCTATTCTAACTCCCCCAGCCCAGCTCCATCCATCCTCCCAACTCCATCCCCAACCCCAAACCTATCCCAGTGCCAACCCAGCCACATCTCCCACCTTTACCCCATCTGAGCATCCTATGCCTCTCTTTGACCTCCACCCCCAGCCCTTCACCATCACTAACCCTATTCTCAGACCCCATCTGTCCTTAACTTGCCCTTCCTTCATCCTCACCCTGCCCCAGACTTCAGGTCCTCCTTTCTCTCCTCTAATAGGCTTCTGCCTCCTGTTTTCCCCATTCTCTGAGCGAATTCAGGTCGACTCCAGGAGCCAGGAGGAGTCAGGTAAGGTACTGGTGGTTTTCGGGGGGTGACGGGTGACGGATGGCAAAGAGTTGAGTGGAGATCCCGGGGCAGTGGGCGCTGAGTGAGGGATTGTCATAATCCATTGACTGTAACTCCATGGGAGAAGGGATTATGCTCTTTTTTCACTGTTTCTGTAGTTTCTAGGCACTTGATAAGTGTCTGCTGGATTGTTTAACGTATAAAACCCTCCTTCTCCATGGCCACCTTCCTTTCGGCCTCTGGTATCTCTCCCTGCACTTCTGCATCATGACTATCCCTGGTCCTCCTGATGATCCTCTTTTCTCACCTTCTTGAGCTCCGTCTCCCCCTTTCCTCACCTGATGGAGCTGTTCTCCAGGTTCTGTCCTTGAGCCCCTGATATTATTTTCTACCCTCTTCCCTAGACGAACTCATCTGCCTCCATGGCTTTTGTAAGCATACTCCTCACATTGGTAAAAACCATAATTCTCACGCAAATAGGTCATGAGTGCATTTCAAATTTTGTGAGCCTAGTCCTCAAGTTGTTCAAAAACACAGTTCTCATGCAGATAGGTCATGGGTGTGTTTCAGATTTTATTGAACTTGTTCATGAAGGACCTGGAAGGATGACAAGCTGATTCAGAAGGGATATGAGAGACTGAGATTATAGAACCAGTGGGAAATGATGTTGAAATAAGGTTGCTGAGGAAGATACAGAAGTAGTTAACGTCCTACAGGGCAATTCAACTCAAACTATGGGGTTATCTTCCCGATTAGATGAGAAAAAAATTTTAAATCTTATTAGCGTTCTATAGCTTAATCCAACTTTACAGAGCTATAAAACACCTGGACCTGTATCAATTGTGAAGAGTAAGTTAAAAAAAAAAAAGTTACATTTCCAGAGAGATCCTCCGAAACGCTTACTAGATAATTCTCTAGCATGACATTGAAAATCATCTTTTAATCTTATTTTCCAAATTTTGGATTATTTATCTGCATAGAGCCCCTGAGATCGATCATAAGTTATCTATAAAGGTAATTACTAATAAAATAAAGGGCTAGTCTAAATCAGTTTTGTATTCACATCATTCATGGAAACATTGGAGGACCCACAGCTGTTACAGGAAACAGAAAACAAATTGGAGGTTAATTTATTGCATATATTCCCAATCCCAATGACCAGCAATGTATACTATTTATATTATGGCAGAGATTCAGTAGTGGCTATTTCATGTGGTCTCTGAACTGTACCTTTATACAGCATATGATCCGTCCTATTTGGCCTGATAACTTACATAGATAAAAGTAAGAAGTGTTAATTAGCACACATAAGCCTCCATGGTGTATGGCTGATAAATCTAGAATCATATGGTGTTCAATGCTGCTAAGACCAGACAATTAGCTTTTGTCTGGAGATTATGTAAGGAATTAGGGTTGTGTGTCTGGACCGGACGCTATTGGTCTGGAACTCTTTCCTTGATTGCCTACAATTGTGGGTGAATTCCTCCTTCCTCGAGATCCTCGAAACCTGCTGAAATTCCTGGTTCCACGTATTCCTTCTGAGGCTGGGATCCTGTAAGCCACCATACAGGTACTGGTTTAGTTTAGGGCTTTGTAGGATCTAGTTCTACATACGAATTTCGACATATCAGCCCTTGTCAATAATGATTGGTTTGGTCATATCTGACTAAATGAACTTGGTGCTCAGATATGACACTCCCAGTATGGCCTTGGTTGTGCAATTGATTTGCCCAATTATATCCTTGTGAAAAGGAGGGCTGATTCTTATCGAAACTGTGCAAATAGCTACGTTGCCATGAAAGATGAAGTTATCTGTCATAATATCTGCTCACAACACTAAGCAGTTGTGCAAGCAGGGCCAATTGACATCTCTCATATTTCCAGCAGAATCATTATAGATTTTACTAGAGACAATATCTATAAATATGGTTTGTTATTTATTGATGTATTATAAGCAGAATTAGTAAAATTTAAGATCAATCCAATGTTTTTTGTCAAGGAGCAGTTATGATTTTTCTAAGCTTTACCCATCATAAAAACATTCATTTATATCCCAATTATTAAAATCATTACAATATTTACAAATAAAAATTTCCTCTGATGACTTGTTTATATTGAGATTTGACACAGGATGCTTTTCCAGAATCCTGAGGGATCAGATGGAAAAATACTATTGAGAGACTTTCATTCCAATTTCTACAAGTAAACCTGTTAAACTGAGAGCAGTAGGTCAAGAAGAAAGGAAAGGAACTTTCTGTTTTCATAAGAAGATAGAGATTTGACAAAAATTCCCAATAATATATATATTTTTTTGTGAGGAAGATCAGCCCTGAGCTAACATCCATGCTAATCCTCCTCTTTTTGCTGAGGAAGACCGGCTCTGAGCT